CTTAGGTATCTCTTCCCTACTATCATTGCCCCTCCCCTGCCTACACAGGGAAGAAACCTGAGGCTTTCTCCATCAGTTACTAGAGGCAGGTATAGGGTTTGGGGTGCTTCTAACCCCCAGATCAGAGCTCCAAAGTACAGCTTCATACTAAGCAGCGCAAACGACATTATTTTTAGGGCTATTTTTACTAATAAATAGTAAATAACCTACTGTCATGCACTGAGGGCATTAGCTAACGATCGCTTTGCCTCTGGGACTAAGATGGAGAGGAAGGAACACATTGGAAGATGCTCCTCAGTCACTTGGGTCTCCTGGTCTACAGAACAATGAGCTTGCTCTGCCACTGCTGAACTTTCCATTCTTCACAACTTGTGACTTTCCAAAGAGTCTGTGTATTTGCATGTCTTGTTATCAGGGCTCCTGTCTGCCTTCTATCTGTCTGACCATGACAACTTTACAATACAGTTAATGGGTCCTTGGAAGATTTTTGGGCTTCCAGAGTTAATCTGTCCCAACAAAACACCTTTTACTTTGACTTGATCACACCTTGGCAGTGGTTGGCAGCTGGCTAAGGACTGGGTCTTGACACAGGATGGGGAGGGGTGAGGCTAAGATCAGAAAGCAAAGATGAGAAGGACATGAGGAGGTCTCCCTGCAGCCCGAGGTTGAGATGAGCCCCTGCTCCCCAGCTGGACCCACAAGGTGAAAAGGCAGAAAGGAACAGAAGAAACAGAAATAACAGGACAGGGGTTGGGGGAGCGGTGGCGATGGGGGAAGGAACCATCACAAGCTCTTTGATCTTAATTAATTTTATTCTACAAAAATGCTACTCAGTGGAAAGTAGGAAAGCTACCGAAACAACAACAACAACAAAAACATAAAACAAGAACAAACCCCGAGGGAAAATAAGTTTTAATATGTTCTTCCTCATAGCAGCAAGCTCCTAACAAGCTTTTCTTAGTGCAAATACTGTAGGCTTGTGTCACGTACAGTACACGGAACGACACAACACACACCACCACAGATGCTTCCGAGCAGAGATACTCCTCAAAAATTTAAAACTATACAAAGATTTTTGAGCATACAGTCCTGCCTGGAGTGTTCGACTAGAACAACCCTCTCAGGGCCATTTCACTGTTACTTTAAAAATAGGGGACAAAGGTGCCCAGAAAGGAAATTAAAATTCCCCATGGAGCCATAAAACCTTGTACAACTCATTTGCCTCCAGGGTCTAATAGCAAATTTCACTCCACGTCATCGACATATCCCAAATACAGATGCATAAAGCTTGAGTTTCTACTATATACCAAAATACGATATATACACCTCCCACTGCAAAAGAAACCCTGATACCTAGTCTTTATACAAAGTTGAATATTTTCTTCCTCAAAATCAAGTAGCCACAAAGTAAAATACATGGATTTTTTTAAAAAAAATCATACAGAGAAAGTTAAGTTTTGAGAGACAGGGCCAGGGTCTTTCATTGTCTTCTCTTACAATGCAGATTTCTCAGTAACCACTGTCCTCACAGGAATGACAATCGATCTTTAAAAACAGAACCTTTTTAATACAGTTTATACAGCACAAGTCCACAAATCACTTTAGAAACAAAATAGAGATCGTTATCCTAAGTTAGAACAAGTGGGGGCGGGGGGAGAGAGTCAGAGAAGGGGTAGGAACTGAATACTTTAATGCTATCTGTTTCTATTCAGGCTTGGAACAACACAAAGAAATGTAAACATTTAAAATAAATAATAAAATAAATGTCAATTTCTTCCCCCTTCCCCTTCCCATACCCTCTGTCAAACTCTGACCCAGCTCCTCCTGAACATGTGTGAGTACTGGATCATTACAGACATTTGGTGAGGCGTGGCCAAAACACTAGAAGCAAGAGGAGACACCGACTTAGCAGTAGGATGATCCTTATAAAAAAAAGCTGCAGAACACAAGCATGCACACGCATGAACACACATGTGCACACGTGTGCACACTCATGAACACACACACACACACACACACACACACACGCCCTTGTCAATAAATAGTGAGATGCTGGCTTGAAGATAAATGCCAAGATAACACAAGCACAATGCTGCAAGACCCCTTTACTTATAGTTTAAAAAGAAAGTCATACACAACACATATCCTATTGGTCCACAAATTCTATGAGAACTAAGGTGGGCCCTTCACCCACCTGAGGAGCACAAGCCAGGTAGCAGGAGTCTAAGGGGGAGGAGCCTGGGATGGGCAGAAGCTGCTGAGGATGAGTCTTTGAGGACCACCAGCCTAGAGGCACTCCCACCTGGGAGTCTCTGAAGAAAGCCCTCTCATCCCCTAGGTGTTTTTGCTTGTTTGTTTATTTTTTGTTTTGTTTTGTTTGCTTAGCCATTACTTGGTGGCCTTCTGGACTGAGATGAACCCTTAGTTCCATCTTAAAAGAGGATAAATATAAAAGTGCCTCATAGTGCCTGGCACACAGTAGGTGCTTATTCTTTTTCTCCCCAATGAGGCCACATGAATGTCTGCTCCGGGAAGGAAGTCACTGTGAAAGATAAATTGGTGACATCTCAAGGAACACTTTTGGTCTCTCAGGAAAGAGGGGGAAAAATGAATCCAGATGCTTCAGATGTGCCTTCCCCTCTTCCTCTGGGGGTTAAGTGGAAGCAGATAGGGTTCTCTCTCCCCAAAGCCAGAGAAAGCTCCAGGCTTTGCTTACTATTGGCTTTGAACTGCTCCTATGACTGGCCACCATGGGCACACTTAGCCTATGAAAGCGGGAGTCTGAGTTCCCCAAAACCTCCCCCAGGGAACTGGCTGCTTGGTGTTAGCTCCTGAAACTTCCTAAGCCTCACCTGGGCTCTACTCTTTCTGGTGCCATAGCTGTCCCTAGCTAGCCAGCCAGAGAAGAACTGTTCCCACAGAAGCCTGGCGGCCATGAAAGGACTGTGTTTCATGCTAGCTGATTAAGGAGTGCCTGCCCCATACTAACCCAGCGCTGCTCACAGTCCAGCCCAAGTCCATGACAGCTGAGGACACATGAGGGGCATCTGTGTCTATGAGCACAAAGCACCCACCTCCCCCAAGCCCCACTGCAGCTGCTCCGACCTGGAGGCAGGGAAGGAGGCAAGCCAGGCACCTGCCTGAGCGCAGGCGTGCATGAGTGCCATGTATGCGACCCAGCTTGGACAGTGAGCCAGAAGGAAGCAAACTGAAGTTACACCCACAGTTTAGGTAGAAATATTCTGCTTTCCCCCAGAAAGTCTGTCGTTGGAAAAGCCAAGAAGTCTTGTAGGACAAAGCAAGCAGGTCATAAGGTGACCTCAGAGGCCTCTGAGGCCCAGTTAGCTGGCTGTGCTTTCTGGCACTGATGTCAACACAGATGAAATCTGAACTGAAAGCCAGACTTGGAGTCTCAGGAGTGTCCTACCAAGTCACAGGCCTGTGACCAGGGTTGAGATCCATGCTAGAGGCAGAAAGGAGCTTCAGGAGAGAAAAGAACAGGAAGTAGCTTCGGTTCAGAAATACCCACAGGCTAAAGGGAGAGAGCCCCACTTGGCATGAGATGATAAAGCTTTTCAACTGAGATTGCCCAGGGTATTCACCCAACTCCTCCAGTCCCGACTTGGCTGACTTCTGCTTCTAGGGCCCTGAGGCCAGCAAACCACCTGTTCCATTTCCTCAGAAGCACATCCCTGCCCCCTGAGGCTCTGGGAGACCAGAATGGCAGAATTAGAGCCAAGACATACGGGGAAGAGCATATCAAAACTATCTCTCTTCTTCTCCCACTTTACCTAGCGAAGCCTGCTCCTTTCAGCTCTGCCAGGCTACGTGTGCTTCCCACCTGGCTCTATGTCCTGTGTGTTCTGCATGCATGTAAGTATTTATGGGAACATGTGGACTTGGGGTGAGAAGGGCATCCGTCTGTGAAGGTGTCCCTTCTCTCTCAAAAGTCGGATTTCACCATTAAGCTTGACTTGAATAACAGGGCTTTAGATGGGTGGACAGTGATCTGGAGCAGAAATACTAGGTCAGAGCATTAGCGCTAGAAACCAGTTCTGACCAGACTCCACTTCCATGCTTGTGTCAACAAGCAGTGGGGACAAAGGGAGAGAAAGACAGGGGGTAGGGCTGTGCCCTTGCTGGAGGCAGGGACATCCAGGAAAATGCTGGTTCTTCTGCAGTGGAAAGGAACACACACTAGCTTTGATAGGAACAGCATAGACACTCAAAGCCCTAGCAAGACTGGGGGGGGGGGGGACCAACAACTCCCCGCTGGCCTGCGGGGTCAAGGGATCACTCCAGAGTGGGCCAGGGGAGTATGAAAGGAAAATCACTGGATTCATCAGTAGCAGAGACCACTGAGAGCAGAAGGGGGCTCCTGCACCTCACTGATAGGAGAGCAGCCAGGGGAGGCTAGGTAGCTGGCTGCCTCTGTCAAAAACTGTCCCTACCGCAGCCCCCCCTCCATCCCACATTCCTTAAATATCCACAGGTGGTGTCACCATGAGAGTTGGGGATGAGCAGAGCCCAGCAGGGCCTTGGAGTGATGTGCGGCTCCTAGGAAGGAGTGCTTCCCAAGTCTAGAGAGGAGGGTCCCGGGGCAGAACAGCAGCGGCAAGGCAGTAATTACAAGAGACGCCCAGCTCAAGACACCAGGTGAAGGGAAGCTCACTAGGACAACCATGTGGCTTTGTTGGCACAAATCCTGGCTTGGTAATTAGACGTTTGGCAAACCCAACCTGCGCCCCGGTTGTCGCACTCACACCCTGTCTTCAGGCCAAGCCGATCCTCAAAGTGATGTGCATCTCAGAGACTGGGGAGGAAAAGTCCTTGGCGCATCCGTCCCAGTGATGGCGGCATTGCCGGCAGAACTCAGGGAGCCCATGGTCTGTAAAAACAGCGCACTGGGTGTGTAGGGAGGGAAGGTTCAATAATATTGCACTTTGACTGCCCCTTTGGGACGCGTCCGCCCCAGTGGAAGAGTCATCTGCTTCCTCAGCTCCAGAAACAAAAGCGCTTTAATATCTGGACCACCCAGATGAAATGTCATGGCAAATTTCATAAAAACCCAGAAGGAGCGAAACTGATACCAGGGGAAGGAGGGGAAACCAAAAGGCACTGAGCATGCTTGGTAGGGCAGAAAAGGACACTGTCACTCCAGAGACAACGAATAACAAAGGGAGGGATTGGAACCAACTGGGCCAGCTCCGGGGGGAGGGGCTTCAGAAGCGGGAGACAGGTCTGAGTCCACAAACCAAGTTCTCTGCGGCTTCTCAAGAAAGGGGATACGCTTGCAAGATGAAGAGGGAAGGGGGTAGGGGGGAATCCCAGGGCTTCTAAGAGATCAACCAATGTCTCACCACTAAGTCCTATCGGGTAGGGTCCCCAGAGCCAAGGAGCCACGTTTGCCCTCATGGCCCCGGAGTGCTTTAAAGGTGCTGGTCCCTGGGAAGAGTGTGGCAATGATGGATGAGGACTCCTTCAGAGCTGGCCAGAGGAGCGCAGGGTTACAGGGCCAGCAGGGTGGGGGAGTTCAAGGAGTCTGACGACTGGTCCCCACTGCTACTGCTTCTGCGGTGAGCCTTGGAGCAGGATTCTGAGGGCGACGCAGGCGACTCCTGCTCCAGGACACTGGGGTAGGTGAAGACAAGGTTTGAAGTGCCCGGAGTGATGGCAGGTGTGGAGGTCACCACGATGGGGGTGTGCAGAGGCTCTTCCCCGTAGAAACCACCCCCGGCGATGCTGATGGGTTTGATGACAGAGCGCTGGCTCTTGTCCATCCCTGCTGAGGAAGAGGGGCTGTCCTCTTCGGGAGGCTCCTGCTTCACCACTACTGGGCCAATGGCACTGCCCGTACCGCGTAAGGACTGCAGCCCGGAGGTGGGGGGCGATCGGCGCTCCTCCGGGCTGATTTTGCACACAGGGCCGTGGGCCACCAGCATGAACTCCAGCTTTTCCTTCTCCTTCTGCAGCTCAGCGATTTCTTTCTGCAGACCAGACTTCTCCTCCTCCAGCTCCTCTGTCTCCTGCAAGGGGAAAGAAGGGTGTGAGGGACAGAAGCCTACAGGCTGACCTGAGGGATGGTCCCAGTGTGGGCATGAAAGGGAGATCTGTGGTGTCCTTGGGAGACCTAGCACAAGCGTCTCCCACACCTGGCCAGAGAGTTAACTGGGTGTGAGTCACATGGTGGCTCACAGTTCTTTACTTCTGAAGGATTGAAGTTGGCTTGTGGGGCAGGTGAGTTAACATCTGGAGCTGCTGTAATTGAGCAATTACTTCATGCCTGTAACTAAGTCTCATATTTTACAGATACTCTCATTCAACCCTCAAGAAGTTTCTGAAAGCAGATGTTATCATCCACCCGTTTTGAGGAGGAGGAAACCAAACTTCAGAGAACTTTGGTTACTTGCTCAAAGTTATGGGCTAGCAGAGAGTTACCCAAACTTGAATGCCAGGGCACGTGACTCCAGAGTTTGCATGCTATCAATTTTGATCCTTGTGGTGCCAGTACTAGCTTTGGGTCTCCCAGCAGGTCAGACTGGGATTCTACTCAACTCCTCTTTACCATCCCTGCCCACCAGCGCCCACAGCCGGAGCTAGAAGCTACAGGAAAGCAGACCTTCATGACGTCATGACAACCCTCTTTCCCCTTCCCCCCCCCCCCCAGACTGGAATGGACAGTGCTTGGCTTGTAATACACTCCCAGCCAATTCCTGCCATATCTCCCCTCTCTTACTTTAGTTTCTGAAGCTCTCTAAACCAGAGACTCCAAGGAACACATTTCCACTACGTGCCCAATAGAGAGGTGACAGACTGTGAGAGTCTGTGGGGATGCCAAGGTCACCAGTGGGGGCCTCAACTCCCCTCCTTAAAACAAAGCCAAGGCAGCCATCAGTGCCTGCCGACTGGAATGGTGGTGGTGGGAGTCACCAGCCTCCTTCCCACTTTTTCTAACACAGATTCCCATTCACAAATGCAGAGATACAGGCAAGAGCTTCATTAAGCACACTACGGTGTATTCCGGAGTGAAAAAAAAGTTTCCATCTGTCTCAAGGGTCTGATGAACGTCAGAGGCTTCCTGTGGAGGATGTGGCTCAGGGCCTGGGTAGCTGGGTCAGGACGTGGGGGAGGTGGAGAGGTAGGGTGTGAGACTTCTGGGAAGAGGGGAGGACAGTAGGGACGACTCAGAGGAGGAGCTGTTCTGGGCTGGTGATGATGGATGTCCTCGGGGAGTCAAAGTAAGGAGCACAGCTCCTTGAAGTATGAGAGAACGGTTAGCTGTGGAAGCCTGCTGAGGGAGCCTCCCGTGACGGACTGACCACTCCCTCATCTGCCTCATCTGGAAGGAAGAAGTCCAACCCCAACCCCCATCCCTACCCTCAGCCCCATAGGCCATGACTACAGGGATCATGGGACTCACCAAGTACATATTCTACTGAATGTGCCCAAAAGTTGGTACCGGGGCATGAAGGAAGCAGAGTTTAAAGCAGATAAACTGTATGTGGAAGGATTGGATAATACATGCTAAATCTCACTACTAGCCAGATGACAATCTCCTGGCTCATCTCCTTTCTTTGAAAGTATTCTCTCCCAAGAGTCAGCACTGGCTTGGGACTTCCTCTACCCGATGCTCAGCCCTTCCTTTAGCCAGACACAGAAGGGAGTTACGTGATATTGGTCAGGTACAGCTTAGCAGGAGCAGGAGTGTGGGCCCTGGACCTGGGCAATTAGGGAGCATGGGATTGTGACTCACAAAGACGGTAAAGATGGGAAACCTTCCTGCCAAGGAAGGGCAGGCAAAAGCTCCAGGAAAGTGCAACTAACACATGACCCATCTGCTTGAGGACCTTTGCTCCCACCTGACTCAACCAGGGTTCCTCAGCCATGCTGGGCCACCTTGGGCATGGGGACAACTGGAACCCCAAGAAAGTGTGTGGGGAGGCAAACGCTAATGTGCCTGCCCTAGCACACCAGAACTGTCAGCTCTTAACCAAAGGCCCCAGTGAGTCTGAGGACAGAGTGCGCTCAGGTACTGTACTGACCCAGAAGTGTGGTCTTCTCCTCTCCAGGCCCACACTGATAGCAGAGGCCAACCCTCATTCACCCATCTACCCATCCTCTCCCATCCCCACCTCTCATTTAGCATAATGTCTACCCATGTCCTTAAAAGAAAAGAAAGAATGTTCCATCTCTCCCAACTCATCATAAGTGTGTCACTTGTCACACATGGCTCCTCACCGCCTGCAGCTTCTCTGTCAGCTCACGGCGACGGTTCCGACACTTGGCTGCAGCCAGCTTGTTTCTCTCCCTCCGGATCCGACGCTTTTCCTCCTCTTCAGGAGACAGCTATAGAGGCCAAGGTCACGGTCAGAATGGCACGCATGTATCGCGGCATTTTTGAAAAGCTGCAACCTGCTCTTTTAGAACTAGGGAGGGGAGGAAAGAGGAGAGGAGCCGGGTTCAGAGGTCCCCGGGGAATGAGGGGACTCATGTGTGGCTGCCTGGAGGGAGCCTGTCGCTGGGTCGGCCGTGGAAGGCGATGTTGTGTGTTTAAAAGGATAGCAGGTCAAGAGTGGATGAGGGATTCAGGGCCCTGCACCAGGGCAGCATTTGTCTGTCAGCTCTGATTCAGAGCCTCACCTAGGGAAGACCCCTCCAGCAAGCCAGGCCTGGACTCACTTGCTGTAGCAGCTTCCTCCAGAGCTAGCTAACTACCCTCCTTCTCCTCATTCAGCTGTTCCACAAGCCTCATCGTCCACCTTTGATTACGTAAAGTCTCTGCACAGGTAAGATGCACCCATGGGGGAGGCATGTTCTGATGTCCTGTCACCAGCAGGAGGACCACGGGGACCACTCTGTCCCCAACTCCCTCTGGCAACCGGAGTGCCAGTTTCTCAAAGGTCTCCCTGAGGACTCCCTAGGAGCCTGCTATCAGTCCTAGCCTGGGCAAGAGGAAAAAAGCAGCCTAGGCATAAAAGTCTCACTGTGCACCTTTTCTGCTTACTTGACAGTGACCTTTTATGTGACATAAGATTCCAGGAGTTGAGGCTGATCTGTGCACTACAGGAAGACCCCCTGCAGAGAGATCAGGAACTGGCTCCTTCCCCAGAACTCATCAGAGACTTGGTCACATACAGTACCAAGGAGAGGGTCATGGGCCAAAACATAAGGCAGGATAAAGGGAAGATCCTCCTGTCAGCTATCAGACACCGATGCATACCTACTGTGTGCCTATGCTCTTCTAGGGGCCTAAAAGATTTTTTTTTTTAAGTATGATAGGACCTGAGTCCTGCCTTCAAGGGATCCGTGGAGAAAACAATTCAAGCCATCCCACAGAAGTAAGTAAGCTAACTACAGACCACACCACGAGGAACAAGCCATTTCAGCTAGCTGGGCCTAGAGCAGGACCTGTAGGACGCTCCCTGCCACCCTAGGTGGCTGTGACATCATGAGTGGCAAAGGAAAGCATGAAAGAGGCCAAGGCCATTTCATCTACAGAGATGACTCCACAGGAGATCACCCAATCACTTGCTGTCCCCAAACCTGTCTTGGTCCAAGGCTTACAAAGTTAGTTACCAAGAAAGCCTATGGCCCTGTGGTAGTCTTGGGTTGAGGTCTCTTCACAGGCCCCCTCCCCCACAACTCTCTCTCCCACCACAGCCTTTACTGCTGAAGGAGAAAAAAAAAACTAAAATAAAATAAAACCTTGGTCCACAGCAGGCCTTCCTCCCACCTTCGTAACTTTTAGCCTTAGATATCTCTCCCTGTCTGGGAGGTGTGGGGCAACTGTGGGTACTGTCGACATAGGAAATGTTCTGGGGTGGTGAGATCAACGTGGTTACAGCCTCAGTGTTGTTAACATCACCAGGGACCCACCCACAAGCCACACACGCCCTCCCTCCCTTCTTCTCAGTCCCCACCCTGGGCTCAGAGGAGCCTCCTGGGCAGGCTCTGGAGGAGGTCATGAGGCACCAAGCTGACTCTTGGGACAAGCCTTAGGGTAGAAACAAAGGTGGGGAGTGGGTGTAGGGTGAGGGTGGGAGTGGGAACAAGCCACAGACAAGACCCTAAGGTCAGGAACCCAAGAGTCAAGGCTCTAGAATGTGGCTGCCATGGGAGAGAGTCTAATGTGGTTAGTGGTCTTCTGACTGGCTCTCTTCCTCCCTGCCACAAAAGGAAGGATGTCTCCAGACGTCTGATCCTGAAGCACACCTAGGTGATGTGGCATCACGAACATCCACCTGAAGGTCAGAGTGGTGGACCCCCGTCTCTGCTACTAACCCAGTGTGACCCTGGGCCCTTCTCTCCAGGTCTTAGCCTCTTTAACTACGAGCTGGATCCAGGGGGAAAATTTGGAGGTGCAGGTCCTCAATGCCCCTTCCGGGTGTCAGCATCTGAATGTAGTGTGAGGCAGACCCAGCAGAGAAAGAATGTCCTGCCAGCCCACAGGAGCCTGGCTGTCACTCAGCATCATTTATATCTGGGGACCATCAGCCTGTCAGTGGTTATGATGGTTAGATCCAAATGGCCATGACTTCTGCTTTAGGAAGTACAATTTCCAAGGACAGTACTGTCACTGTACAGCACCTATAACTGTGACTATGGTCCAGAAGGGGCCTGTAGCTTCCCACCCCCGTGTAACTGTACTACAGTGTCTACTACCCATAGCCCTGAAGACCCTTCACTGGGGCCCCAATGCCAGCATGGATTGGCCATGAAGTCCTATTTTGTCTTCAGGAGAGCAAGGCTGCTGAGGAGGAAGCTTCCAGCCCCTTAGGAGTGGAGAGGTAAGCCCTGTAACTCTGGGCATCCTTGGGTCTGCTGGCACTAGGTCCCTCACTATGCACAGGGAGCCGTGTTTATTGGTCCTGGTACTAGGATATAGTGGATACTGGGGCCATGGAGTGGAAACAGACAAGAGATGGGGTGAAGGCTTCCACAGTTAACAGGAAAGTGTCACCGGATTCACATTTGAAAAGGAGAATGCACTGCTAAAGGGTTCCTGTCTCTGGGCTCACTGTGGCACGGCCTTGTGGGAGGAGGAGTGAGCATGGAGTCCAGACAAGATGGTCTGGGTCTCAAGTGCATTGTCTGTGGTAGGAGATGGATGAGATCTTTGAAGGCCTATATCCTTCCTTCCAACTCAGTTCTCTCTCAAAGCTGAGCTTGAGGAAGAAAACCAAGTGAGCTCTCATGTGTGGCTTCTACCCCTGCCCCGACTCCCCAGAGCTGAATAGACTCCACAGGCCTCCGGGGCCACTATATTTCTGGAGTGTACATTCCAGGAACCGGAAGAGGGCTGCAGCTTTGATCTAAAGGCCTGAGACACTGAGGAAAAATGTGAAGCCACTTGGGTGCTCATGGCTCTGTCCTATGGCACTCTCCCAGTGGCCACCCACTAAGGCCCAGGACAGGTACTACTACTGTAGGAAGCCATGACAGTTCCCATTCACTGATACTTCACACTTAAAAGGTGATCCCCTCCTCATTCAAGGTCTCCGCAAACACAAACAGAGCATTCTATGTTGGGGAGTCCCTCCCTCCCCCAGCTACCAACGTAGTTCCCCTCCACTAGCTAGAGACATACCTGCTCATCTCTCCTTCTGCGGCCCACAGTGGTACCAATGGTCTTGATCACTCCAGGTCTGGGGAGAGCCATGTGCCCAGGGACTGAAGCCAGGCCTGGCAGGGGACTGTAGGGATGTGATCGCGGATAAGGGTTGGACATGGAGGTAATCACTGTAGGCTGTACCATCCACTGCAGGTCCTGGCTGGTGGTGATGGCGTTGATTGTAGGGATGAAGGCACTGCCTGAGCCAGGCATATCTACCCGGAACTTCTGAAACAAGGAGAAAGACATAACATTGAGCCAAGAAATGGCAGAGCAGGACGAGCAGAGCCAGGGCCAAGGCCAAACGCTGTAGCCTTTGAGGTTAAGGCTTGATAGCAAGGTGAGGTCCCAGGTGGGCTTCCCTGGAAAAGTCTCACAGAGCCAAACATCAAGTAGATCTCATCCATCCCTGGGCCATGTGTCAGATCTGTTCTCTGCCTGGAGTCCTGAAGACTCCATTCTCAGGGACTCATGGAGGATGCAGCCATATCCCAAGAGACTTCCAGGACACTTGTGAGGCCGAGTGGCGCACATTCATCCTGCAGCTCTCCAGGGTACATATCTGCAGGATGTTTCAACGTGGCCTCCTGGGCTTCTGAGTCATCTACCAATTATTCCCCAGGGTACCAGCTCAGGACATGTTTCTTGGAGATTTCCACACCGGTAGATCATGAGAGGTCACTACACACATACTGTGTTCCTTGTCGCTTTCCAAGGAAATTCGTGATGTGTCTTAAAGCCTATCAGATCAAGGTCAAGTTGAGAAGGCCGAATCCTCACCTCTCTGTTTATTGGTGAGTCTACTACCAGTGGATAGGACTGTGGCCTGTGAGGCTGGCTCTGCAACCAGACTTCCTATTGCTGTCTTTGACCCAGCCTTGACATCTTGCTTGGGGCAGACGCACTGTGTGTCTCTCCCATGGACACATCTATCTTCCTGGGCTCACAGACGTGTCCAACAGAACACTTCAGTGCCGGCATCTCAGAGGCTTCCCTTTGTCTCTTAATTTACCTCAGGATCATGTTACAATGCTCTGTGAGCTATGGGGGGCCTTATATTTAAAATCCTACAACACAGAGCATCAAAGCACAACAGATTGGCCCCTCAGCTACTCCATCACTGGAGCTGTTAGGTCAGAGCCTGGGACTCAGTAGCCTTAACTAGGTAGGCTCCACACCCATCCCCAGTAGGCCAATTAAACAGTAAAAGAGGAAAGTAGAGAGGGAGATTTATCCTATATGACCATATTAAGGAAAGGAACAAAGAGGCCCAGTGGCCTCTCTCCCCCAGTCTGTCTTCAGGATCAGGACAGAAGGTTGATGTTAAACAGAGGGCAAAGGGAGGCATAGCTAAGTGGTCCCAGTAAGGACATGGTCCTGCCCATCACCACTATCTCCAGTCTATCGCGCAAGGTGCTCTGACAGGTTGTCCTACTGTGTGAAGACCCCTTCCTTCTCTCAGTGTAAAATTCCTGGGACAAATCCAGTTTCTTGGGGACCATCGTTTCAGTGGCCTGACACCCAAATGGAGGAGCATAAGTGTTTCCCTTTAGAATTTATTCCCTCCTGCCAGGATGGCGGCAGCTGGCTTTGACTCTTCTCCAGGACAGTTCCTGGAAAGTGAGAGGCAAAAGGGGAGCCCCTTCCATTTCCAGAAGTTCAGGAGAAGATGCTCTATGGTCCCAGTCAAAAACCCATCCTCAGATGGTCTGTGGCCACAAAAGCATCTTGCAGCTTTGCCCCCAATCTCATGGGTAGAATGACAGTCATAATAGCTGGCACTTCCAGAATGACAGACACCGTGTTAAGGTCTTCCCTACATGGCCTAATTAACTCTCCCTCTGAGGTGAGTGCCATATTACCTTCATCTTAAAGGCTGCAACAGTCAGAGAGAGATCAAACCACTTACTCATGGTCTTACTGCTGCAAAGTAGTGAGATCAGAATTCAAACACAGTTCAGCACGGCCAAGACAGGAGCCTCTCAACATGGCGCCACAAAGATTTCTCTGGCATTCTTTCTTCCTCAAAACCCAACCCCAAGTGCTAGAGTTCATGACACCATGCTAAGGATTCCTTCAGGCCTTTCCTCTAACCAAGGAGGTCCCACAGACTGGTTCCACCCAAAAGGAAGTTCTGCTGTCATTAGCCCAGGAACTATAGTAGCCTCCGCCTGGTCTAGTCAGAGCAACCACAACTAGAAGAATTGGAAGTGACCACTTTTGCAGTATCTATCCCTGCTGATAACATCATAGGTCCTGGTATGAAGTAAAGTGAAGCCTTCACACACACACACAAACACACACACACACACACACACACTATACCTGACAGAGCTGACAGACCCGTCCTCACACACCATCCTGCCACCACCTGATGACTCCAGTTTGTGTGGAAGAACATGACTGCCTTACTTCTCAGATTGCCCCAGTGCAGGAAAGCTGTCCAGTGCAATGGATTCTGGGATTTTATCAGGGAGGTCGCCCAGTACGGCTTGGTCAGTCTAGCCAGTTCAGTTATACCACTAAAGGCTAAGGTATGAAGAGTTGGTTTTGTTTCAGAAGAGTTGGCTGAAAAGAAACAGCTATGCCAGACTTGGTGGTTGAAGATTATAAACCCTAGCTATCCAAGGAGGCTGAAGCAGAAGAATAAGAAAAAAATCCAAGACCTTTCTGAGCTGCAAAGTGAGTTCAAGGCCAGCTTGGACAACTCTGTGACTGTCTCAAAATATAAAACAGACTAGACTACTCACTTAACATGCACAAGGTCCTAGGTTCAGTCTTTAGTACTGAGAGGGAGGAAGAGAAGGAGGGAGAGAGGGAAGGGGGCAGCTTCCGTGTGAATCGGGTGTGTGTTTCTCTGGAGGCATGAGGGCCGTGCTCTGCCCCAAGCCAATCACTGAGGACCCAATTCTGGGACAAAAGAGAGCATGTTGATTCTGAACTTCCTGCATCGTTTCAGGGATGAAAGCTACAGCGACTGAAATCACGGGCTGCAAAGCCATAAGTAGTTCTCAACCTGGCTAAGAGTGTTCTGAGGAGCTCGTAAAACTCACCGATGCGGGAGCATCATCATTAGAGTCTGAAATAATTGTTCAGGGGCGGAGTTCTATCACAGGTACTTTTTTAGACTCCAGGGAGATTCTATTATAACATGTAACCGGGGCAGGAAAACATCACCCCAAACAAATGGAAGGCACCACAAATCGCCACCATCGCTGCCGCTGCCGTCGTCAGCAACATCACGTCACCCCATAATGTAGGTCTGTGTATACTGCACAGGCTAGCTCTTGGGAGAGTTGCCAGCTTCCTACTTTTGGAAGCACCCAACTTTGTATTCTATTGTTCTTCCCCAAGACAGGTCCTCAGATAGGAGGGGCACCCAGGGCAATGGCCTCATGTGACCATCTCCTCCTTGGGGGCAGCTGCCAGCTCTCCTTTTGGGAAAGCATCTAAGAAATCTGCTCATTCCAAAGAACAACAGGGTGCCAGTTTTAGGCTTGGGGAAGGAAGCAGAAAACCCAAAGCGAACTGGAAAACTAAGATTCCTCAGGGATGGGCAGGTGCCTCCCAGCTCCTCTCAGGCCCTCAGTGCACATGCACCGGTTCCCGATAGACACCAGCCAGATTCCTTGCAGCGACGGCTTGGTCTAGACAAAACAAAGCGGCAATAAAAACAAGGCGGGAGGTAATGACTGCCTCTGAATCGCGTGTACACCTTGTTTCAGACAGAGGGTAAGCCATCTGGATAACATGGCCGGCTCCAAACTGCAAGAAAAACAATGTCCTGTCCCCAGAGGGGACTGAGCCCTGATAAAGAAGGCTTTTGTCTCCAGAGGAGCCTCTTGGAGAGACGGCACAAAAGTTTCAATTAGATCTGGCAGATGGGTCTTGTCTCAACTCCAAACATGCTATTCAGAGAGTGGCATTGGGATAAGATAGAGGAGATAAGGCTAAGAGTT